GTGACTGATGTGATCAGTAAACCCGTACGGTAGATAAGAGACAGCTCACGCAGCATATGCGACTATGATGTATCGTAATAAACGCAACACATCGCATCGGTGCTAACAATGCAAATAGTTCAAACAAGGCATGTAATACGAATAGTTCGAAACCCGATTTCGAAGGATTTAAAAGATTAGCAGATGTAGAAACAAATAAACGACGTAAGTTACCGTGTGAAAGGGTAACAGGTCTGGGTTATGTACAAGTCTGGCCTGATACTAGCCAGCTAGAAAAGGCAGAAGGATGTTAATTTCTCTTCGTTACCTTACTTTTTAACTATGCATCGCTTTCAACGAATCATTCCAACAAGATGAGACTGCAAGTTGCATTGCACCACCTTCTGTTTCTAGTTGTTTGTTTAGGGAACCAATCAGTCGTTAAAGCAATTTCTAGAGGGGGACCTGTTTGCGACGAGGAACATAACCTTTGCCGCAACAAACATCGCCTAAATCATTCGGAGAAGCCAAAGCGTTACACATCGCTAATTTGGGTACTCGGTCCCTGACTCTGATACCTCAGATAACGATGACAAAAACAAGAAGGCGATCACATCTCATGAGCACATGCAGTGCCAGACATGATTTCGTCTACAAATAAGGAGAACTATCTTCCGAAACATCATTCGTAATGACGGCAAGGTAGCTCTAGTGAACAAATCGGTGAGATGCTTCTGGCACGGAGCCTGTAAAACGGAGCTGTGGCCTACTTAAATTCCCTTTATGCAACTAGGGGCAAGGGAAAGGCGCAATACGCGGTGAAATCTGGCCTTGGATTGGTCATTCACAATCTGACATATTTGGGCTTCATCTCATATAATATATCGAGTTTATTCTTCAAGCGTCTCGCTTGATTCGTCATCCTCTTGTAGGAGGCATAATGTGATACGATGAAAAAATCAAATCATGGTTTTTCTTAAGGGAATATACAGGAAAGCTCCCAAATTCTTCGCCAATAAATGCGGTAAGGACTATTATTCCTTATCAGAGGAAAACGCGCTTCAAAAAATGTTAAATCTGTAAAAATACGAGCCAAATATCATCACATGTACGTCTGAATGGAACTGTACAGAAGATCGACAATTCCACTTATGTCACGATGTTTAATACATCATTAAAAAATTTTAAGTTAACTGTGATATAACCTGTGCTGAAACACCCGTCTATTTAAGGTAGGGCTACAAGCAATGATAAAGATGATTATGCAAAAATTAACCCGTTCAATAGAACCCCAAAAGGAGATCCTTTCTTAACCGGAATGATACGTTTTTCATTAACATTACTGTTAGCTTATTAATACTGTTATCTACTGAATTATGATTAAGTGCTGACTTTTTACCAAACAAAATGCAAGACAAACATGAAACAATATCTGGAAACATTCAATCATCTGCAATTCTTGCAAGTCAGGTCGTTGTGCGTCGTGCGAAACAGTTTAATCTACAATTTTATATTTTCAAAAATAAGTTAAATAATGTTATATAAATGTTATAATTGTTGACAACCATTTAAGTTGAAACAGCGATAAACTGCACAGCTACGTACCACCTCCACCACCCTCGGGATCTCAGAAACTTATATCACCGGCCAGGGCACAGATCACCTGGAAAAAAAACCATGGCAGATTCACTGGTATGGAAAAAAGGATTACAGACGAGAGTCAGGAGTGGCAGTGTTGCTGT